TTTCTTTTCTTTTTTTTTTTTTGTGTGATTTTTTTCATGTTTTAAATCATTTCATATATCAGTATTCAACGTTTTATGTTTAATATATCAAAACATTATTTATTCACACTAGCCTTCACCTGTGGTCAGTCCAGACGTGTGTGTGTGTGTGACCTGCTCTGTGTTCACAGCTGTCTGTGGCCTGTAATCGTCTGGTGCGCATGATGGGCGTCTCAAAGCTGACTCACTTACGAACCCTGAACCTCCCCAACAACAGCATCGGCTACATCGAGGGCCTGAAGGACCTGCTTCGTCTGGAGAGCCTCAATCTGGCTGGAAACAACATCAAGGTGTTTTTCACATTTACCGTGTATTTCACTGAAACTGAGGCTGATTCCTCCTGAATCTGTGTGTGTTTGTGCAGGTCACCGAGCAGCTCAACAACTGCGTTTCCCTGCAGCATCTTGATCTGTCAGACAATAATATTTCTCACATAGGAGACCTCACCAAGCTCTCAGTGTTAAAGGTATTTGCCATTTGTCTTGAGAGCTAAATCATGTGTAATCTCTCATAATGTGTTAAGAGAAATATTTTTAGGAAAACACAGAGAAAACGGTGATTGTGTAACCGATATTTAAGGCCTGTTTCAGACTCTTCTTCTGCATGGAAACATCATCACGACGCTGCGCAGCGCTCCTGCTAACCTGCCAGTGACCCTCACTGTGCTGTCGCTCGCAGAGAACGAGATCAGAGACCTGAGCGAGGTACAGCGCAACACACACACAGTGCAAACGCCTTCATAACATTTGAGCTTCTGGACTAGCAACACAATCCTCAGCTGGTTTTGTTCATTTATTGTTTTGCTTCATTTCAACTATGCATTTATCATCAGCTTGTGCATCAGTTTGACAAATTCAATTCAAGTTTATTTGTACAGCGCTTTTCACGATACAAATCTGGATAAAATCAAGTCCCGCCCTACATTTTTTTTCTCATTCAAAAAGCCTTTTTACTGGGATATACATTACAATAATGAAGAAAGGATGATCACAACTTCCATTTCATGCCTCATTAATTTAGTGTAAGAAAATTATTTATAAATGTTTAATCATTTACTAAAATCATGAGAAGAATCCACAATATCAATGTTCAGTACATGACACAATACCAGATGTGTAAGTTTATTATTATTACTTCACCAGATCAACAAACGCAAGGTTCAGTGACAAACAATAGAGCAAGTGACACTTATGTCGCCTGGCCTGAAAACCTCAGATGGGTCCCAGGCTTATCGCTGAGCCCTAGAGAGTAATCTCACAGAATGTGTTCTGAATTTAACACAGCATCTCACAAACACGTTACTTGTGGCAGAAATACAGCGATGGATCGTCCAGAGCCGTCAGTCTGCATGAAAACAGCACAGATGCAACACAACAACGACCTGAATGAACAATTCTTAAATCTGTTTCAGAAACAGGTTGCTGTGGACCGTAGACCTGTGACTGATTCATGTTTAATAGAACATATATGGGCCACTTTGTGTGTTCAGTAGTTTTAGATGTTATGTCATTGAATCATCTTCATTTGAGGGCTTTTCTCCTCTGTATTATACTGTAAAATGTATTTCATTATTCGATTAGAATTATTCAGACTAGCAGCCCTAATCATGTGTCATGGATGTTAGTGTTTAATATGTTTCTGTGTGTGTGTGATGTGCAGGTGTCGTATCTAGCACCGTTACACGGCCTGGAGCAGCTGTGCGTCATGAGTAATCCGTGTGTCACAGCTCTGCCCCGCTGCGATTATCGCCCGTATGTCGTCAGCTGGTGTCTCAGTCTCAAGGTGCTGGATGGATATGTGGTTTCACAAAAAGAGGGGTAAGTTAGATGCCTTTTTCATGACAAGAATTGCAGTCTGTGTTTTACTGTGGTGCTACAAATCATTTTGTACAGGCTGTCACACATCATTTTGCATTTGACAGTGCTTTAAGAAAGGCGCTCTTCTGATCGCAGAGGGTTAGCCTTTAGCCATTTGCTGGTCTCAAACTTTTTCAGCTAGTGGACCACATCAACAATACATCAAAAAAAGATTGTGGACCATCTAACAAACACCTGCGTACAGTAATTACAGTTATTAAAGACAATAGAAGACTTTAACTTGAGATCCACTGATTTATGCGATATGTAGTCTTGAGAAAGCATCTGCATTACTGATGACAGCACTCTGCCGTGTCTCTAGACTGAAAGGAGAATGGCTCTACAGTCAAGGTAAAGGGCGAGTGTTTCGGCCGGGGCAGCACACACAGCTGGTCCAGTATTTGGCATCCACGTGTCCGCTGACCGCCACAACTGCCTTACAGTCAGCAGAGGATGCTAAACTCGAGAGAATCCTCAACAAACAGAGGTAGCGTCCAAAACAAACCATTTAATCCACAGCAAAACCTGTCTGGTGGCGCTTCACTGATCATCTGTGTGTGTGTGTGTGTGAGCGAGCGGTCAGTAATACGTGTGCGTGTGTGTGAGCGAGCGGTCAGTAACGTGTGTGTGTGTGCGTGTGTGTGAGCGAGTGGTCAGTAACGTGTGTGTGTGTGAGCGAGCGGTCAGTAACGTGTGTGTGTGTGCGTGTGTGTGAGCGAGTGGTCAGTAACGTGTGTGTGTGTGAGCGAGCGGTCAGTAACGTGTGTGTGTGTGCGTGTGTGTGAGCGAGTGGTCAGTAACGTGTGTGTGTGTGAGCGAGCGGTCAGTAACGTGTGTGTGTGTGCGTGTGTGTGAGCGAGTGGTCAGTAACGTGTGTGTGTGTGAGCGAGCGGTCAGTAACGTGTGTGTGTGTGCGTGTGTGTGAGCGAGTGGTCAGTAACGTGTGTGTGTGTGAGCGAGCGGTCAGTAACGTGTGTGTGTGTGCGTGTGTGTGAGCGAGTGGTCAGTAACGTGTGTGTGTGTGAGCGAGCGGTCAGTAACGTGTGTGTGTGTGCGTGTGTGTGAGCGAGTGGTCAGTAACGTGTGTGTGTGTGAGCGAGCGGTCAGTAACGTGTGTGTGTGTGCGTGTGTGTGAGCGAGTGGTCAGTAACGTGTGTGTGTGTGAGCGAGCGGTCAGTAACGTGTGTGTGTGTGCGTGTGTGTGAGCGAGTGGTCAGTAACGTGTGTGTGTGTGAGCGAGCGGTCAGTAACGTGTGTGTGTGTGCGTGTGTGTGAGCGAGTGGTCAGTAACGTGTGTGTGTGTGAGCGAGCGGTCAGTAACGTGTGTGTGTGTGCGTGTGTGTGAGCGAGTGGTCAGTAACGTGTGTGTGTGTGAGCGAGCGGTCAGTAACGTGTGTGTGTGTGCGTGTGTGTGAGCGAGTGGTCAGTAACGTGTGTGTGTGTGAGCGAGCGGTCAGTAACGTGTGTGTGTGTGCGTGTGTGTGAGCGAGTGGTCAGTAACGTGTGTGTGTGTGAGCGAGCGGTCAGTAACGTGTGTGTGTGTGCGTGTGTGTGAGCGAGTGGTCAGTAACGTGTGTGTGTGTGAGCGAGCGGTCAGTAACGTGTGTGTGTGTGCGTGTGTGTGAGCGAGTGGTCAGTAACGTGTGTGTGTGTGAGCGAGCGGTCAGTAACGTGTGTGTGTGTGCGTGTGTGTGAGCGAGTGGTCAGTAACGTGTGTGTGTGTGAGCGAGCGGTCAGTAACGTGTGTGTGTGTGCGTGTGTGTGAGCGAGTGGTCAGTAACGTGTGTGTGTGTGAGCGAGCGGTCAGTAACGTGTGTGTGTGTGCGTGTGTGTGAGCGAGTGGTCAGTAACGTGTGTGTGTGTGAGCGAGCGGTCAGTAACGTGTGTGTGTGTGCGTGTGTGTGAGCGAGTGGTCAGTAACGTGTGTGTGTGTGAGCGAGCGGTCAGTAACGTGTGTGTGTGTGCGTGTGTGTGAGCGAGTGGTCAGTAACGTGTGTGTGTGTGAGCGAGCGGTCAGTAACGTGTGTGTGTGTGCGTGTGTGTGAGCGAGTGGTCAGTAACGTGTGTGTGTGTGAGCGAGCGGTCAGTAACGTGTGTGTGTGTGTGTGTGTGCAGACAGCATCAGAAACAGCTGCAGCAAACACGTCACTGCTGCTCGAGTCCGTCTCGCCCCACGCATCTCAACGTTCACAAGAACACAGACGTGGATGTCATCGCTCAGGCAGGTCAGATCAGTGAAAGACTCACGCTGAAATCACTTATTCACTGTTCTATGTGGTTTTCAGCACAAATGTCTGCATCTCTTTCACCAATAACCTGTAATCCAGTTAAATGGGCACAGTGCTGACATTGCACCGCATCTTCAATATTTGAATGAAGTCATTGATGTTCCTCTCTAGAGGCATCTTTACACATGCTCTTTACGGTATCACAGTGCTGGGTAAATGCATTTATGCCACCTCTGAGCAGTATTAACCAGTCTGTGTAAAGACACTTAAATGCCACCTCTGACCCTTTGCAGTGACAGTTTGGCAAATGTGAACGTGTAATGCTCATTATATGCCTGGCTAATAAACCCCGGAGGTGAATTAATGTACCCATGCTGTATATAAAAGAGTGCACTTTTTTAAACAATCATTACAGCAATAATTTTAAAGACATCGCCATCGCCCATGTTTGAGAGGAAGGATATATCAAACAAGAATATTTGAGTTAAATGAGATGAAATTATTCCTTTCGGTGCAAATTGGCATCAGTGCTATTTTTAGTGTCAGGTTTGAGTCATTGCCTGATTTCTGTTGTTAAAAGTGTAGATAGACATCTTTTTCCTATTATTGACCAATTTCTCTGCTATTCCAGTTCTCAAAAAGTTTTGAGAAATTATTTGTACGCAGGCTTGATAATTTTAGGGCTGCAATGATTCCTCGATTCTATTCGAGTATTCAATAAAAAAATTTTTTAAAAACGATTTAATTTTGCCCGTGTCGAGTAATCTAATAAATACCGGAAGTGGCGCATTTCACGGACGAGAATCCATGAAATGCATTATTAAACTGTTTTCCGAGGCTGCATGATATATTAAACCCATTTAAAAATCATAATAAAGCATAATGCTATTGTGAATTCACAAACGCTACGATTCAATTAAATGTATGCGATGCAGGTTTAATATGTGCTTTAATTATTTACATGCGTGTAGGTTACGTGCGTGTGTATCAGAGCGGCTCCGTTCACAGTAAACGCTGCTCCACACAAACTCTTATCATTTACACGTGTGGAGCGTCTCAAACTCCATCTCTGCATGTTGCTGTGAGTTTGGGGTTATTATAACGTTCATCTGAGAACGCAGCGTGTGCAGGTGAATGGCAGTGATGGAGCTGGTAGAAGATATTTTCACCCAAGTGGATTATGAATAAACTTCAGGTGAATAAACTTCAGACACTATTGATTGTTTATTAATGAGGAAACTGGAGAGATGTGGTATAAGAGGAAAAGCCTTCTCTTGGTTAAGAAGTTACTTTGATGATAGATATCAATTTGTACAAATAAATAATAATACATCAGATTTAATTAAAGTCACTTGTGATGTTCCACAAGGTTCGGTGCTAGGCCCCTAATTGTTTGTACTTTATATAAATTATATTTGTAAAGTGTCTCCAGCATTACAAATTGTTCTGTTTGTTGATGACACAAATTTATATTGTTAGGGAAAAAATTTGGAACAGATTCTGTATACCGTGGAAATCGAATTGATAGTCTTAAAACAAACAAGTAGTATGATGATAATTGACTTTAAATAAATGTAACTAAAAGTTCATAATAATCAGTAAACAAAGTAATAACAAAGCTAAAATTAGGATTAATAATGAAGAAATAAAAAGAGTGTATGGGAATACATTTCTGTGTGTTATAGTAGATCATTCATTGCAGGAAATCCATTGTAACTGTAGGAAATCTGAATCCATCGCAATATTAAATACCAAATAAATACATGTTTCGAATCAAAACTCGCATAGATTGTACTGTTAGCTCATAGTTCCATACATGAGTTATTGTGTGGAGGTATGGAGTCATACATATAAAACTCTGAAATGCAGTATATACATTACAGAAGAGAGCAGTTGATTGTAAAACGTGAAAAGTGAAAATACAGACAAAGATAAAACACCAAATAAAAACAAACTATGAAAAATTCAACAAGTAAATAGAAAAATAAGACGATTACAAAATAATCCGCTAAAAGCTTCCATAAAAAAATAAGCTTTAAGGGAAGATTTACAACACTTAGGGATTCTGCTTGCCTAATCTCAGCAGGCAAAGCATTCTAAAGTTTTGGAGCAATTGAAGAAAAAGCCCCATAGACTTTAAATGAGTAAACGGAACAATTAAAAGGCCAGCTTCAGAGGAGCGGAGATCACGTGCCGTTGTGTAAAAAGGTTAAAAGCTCAGAGAGATAATGAGAAGCCAAACCATGCAAAACCTTATATTTCACACAGAGTGTGATGAAGCCAGTGTAAAGACTTCAAGACAGGAGTGATGTGATCCCTTGTCCTGTTTCCAGACAGCATTGAGCTGAATTCTGAGCCAACTCTAATCTATTTAGGGAAGCTTCTGAAACCCTGGCCAGCAAAGCATTGCAGTAATCAATGCGAGAAATACAAAGATGTTAATGAACTTGGGTTGTTGTAGAATCTAGGTAGTTCTTTCATTGAATCAGGCACTAATTCATCTTTAGTGAATCTGCCCTTCAGTGTTTTTCTGTCATTTTGTCCTGTAGTGATTCGTTCTTCATTATGATTGTAGATGTGGATCCAGGAGTTCAGGTAAACGCGTGGATGAGCTCTGTGTCTTCAGCCGTGATCGCTGCGGTTCGTCTGCCGCCCGCCGCTGAAGACGGGGTGATTCTGGAGGATGTGCAGACCGATGAGGAGAAGCTTCATGGCAGTCTGCTGTCCTCCGAGTCTGCTTTCTTGCCCTTTAACCCTGCTGTTCATCCAGCTTCAGCTCCTGACAGCGGGGAGGAGGAGTTTGATGATTCTCTGGCTCCTCCCACATCCATACAGCTCCGCCCGTCGGAGGAGGAGTCAGTGGGCGGAGCCGTCCTCAGCTCTCTGACGCACGGATCGGATCATGCGGAGCGGACTGACAGAAGCGGTGATGCTGTGCTACAGAACGGTTCTGTGGAGGACTCAGACTGGACTGGGACGCAGAAAGCTGCTGTGCTGCAGTGTGAACCGAGCGAAGCAGCTGTCAGGATCCAGTCGTGGTGGAGGGGTCACTGGACGCGGCTCTGCCACCCACAGGCCAAAGAAGTGCGTGCTGAGATCCGCTTGCGAAGGATGCAGGATCACATCGTCCACCTGACCGCGGAGCTGGAGAGGTCAAGCTCTTCACTGTTTACATGTTTGTGCATCAGGTTATGAACTGGAAAGGGATGCAGCTTTATCTGAATCATTCTGGTTTATTTGTGAATCACTGTTTTATTCCAGTTGTTAGCCGATTAGTTCAAACGTAAAATCAACTTCAACAATACTGTAAGCTGAAACCGTGTAAAGTGTTTCGCAGTAACTCGTATGTTTTGCAGGGTGCGCAAGCAGCAAGAAGAAGAGCGACTGCAGAGACGTGTTCAAGAAGAAGCTGTGAAGTTCCTGTGGAAGCAGGTCTGTGTGAAGATGAGGAATGATGAATACTGCTGTGTCCTGCTATGAATACACTGTGTGTGTGTGCTGTGTTTGTGGAGCAGCTTCAGGTGTTGCTGGAGTGGCAGTCATCTGTGAAGGAGCGGCTCAGTGTGGCACAGAGTTCAGCGTCAGATCCCAGCATTCCCGCAGACACTCCTGTCCGCTCGGAGATCTCCATCCCGGAGTCTGGCTCTCATTCCCCGGGAGAGCGAGCGGCGGGGGACAGTGTGCTGGAGCAGACGACAGAACAGCAACACCTCCAGATCCATCCCATCTCTCTCCTCATGGGACAGAAGAGCGCTTGTCCTGACCCGAGTGGAAGCAGATGTCACGCTGCTGAAAGTGTTTAGGAATCACAGGACTCTGTCGGACTCGTGTGCCCTGCCTCCGGCTCTTCTTGAAGATCAGACACTAGCCTGTTTTAATCACTGGCCTTCAGCAGACTCGTAGCCTTTGTCTCCATGCTGTCAGCAGTCAGACACGGAGTGAAGAAGCTCGTGTTTAACTGCACAGTGCTGCCTTTGGGCTTTCTAACACTGCTGGATATCAGCAGACAGATTTCTGTTGAAGTACTTTACATCTTTACACACCCAGGGTGCCAGGCTCTTTCAGTGCACTTAGCAGTAGACTTGTTTCCTTTGGAACGACACGACCAGACGTAGCCTTGAACTGTAGAGGAGCACGTATGTATGAATGTGAAATTAATGTGAATTGATAGTCTGCTGCAGTTCAAAGCTACTGAGAGCTGTACATATTTCTGTGTGTGCATCTGGATATTTACAGTATGTGCTGCAACTAGTGTTCAGTGTGGCATATGCAAGTTTATTTATTTTACATTTTTATTCTTTTTTCTATGTTATATATTTTAAAATTCATTTTTGTAAATAAAGTTTGACTTTCACCATTGTGGTATTTTGCATCAGTACTTCAGCACAGAAAAAGAGTGAAACACTTAGGATTACTGTGAACTATAACAATATTTATATTACAGTCACGTCTTGCAGCTGGATCTGTAACTAACACTAGATGGAGCTCATGATCTAACAAAGCACCGAGTCTGTTTCTTTGTATTCAACGTCATATAGACTACCATTATTAATTCATTCATTCGCTTTTATTAATAATTATAAAATAAAGTAATTGTAATTACTTCGTCTAGTTTCTCTTGGTTGCTCTTCCTGAAATAAAACGGTCAAGTCATCAAATGTTGATGAATGTTGGCTGGATTGGATCAGTCAATACAAGCCGAAACGTTCCGTTCATGAAGATCTCGATGGTTCTTTGTTCACTGATCAGATTTACACTGAAACAAGAAACCTCGTGTTGTTTTGATGACATTTTAATTGTTCATGGTTTTGAATCGCGGAATGCTGAAGGAGCGTCGTGACGTCACGCCACACGTCACTCGCGAATAAGTTCATCAGCGAGCGTTGCGTCGCGTCATTCAGACCCAACGCTCGCTCGCTCGCGCGTCACGGCAGCAGAAGATGATCATCGACGGAGTTAGTGAGGGATTGTCCGGTGTTCTGGACCGGGACAGCGATGTGATGACCAGTCCGGCGCACCTGCTGTCGTTCTACCGGTGCGCTTCTCCCGCGGAACCGAATCTGTCCGACTCGGATCAGAGCTGGAGCAGCGGTAGGGAGAATTATTAATTATGACACCCTTCTAATATTTCATTAACCATACTGAAGTGCTGTGTTTACACGGACCGTGTCAGGAAAACTGTGCTGGAGAATAAAACCTGCAACGTTAGTTCAATTCAGTTCAGTTCAAGTGTAAGTTATTTGTTTAGCGCTTTTCACGATACAAATCGTTGCAAAGCAGCTTTACAGAAAATTAAAGTTTCTATAATATATTTAGGAGTAGCTCATCAGTGGCGACTGTGTCAAGTTGATGTCCATATATCATGCAGTTAGTTAATGACGGTGATCGATCGATGTGTGTAATCATGGGAGACTGTTTTCAGTGGCTTTCAGAGGACAGCAAACTGATTAAAGTAAATAAAGTTTAATTAAAGCGTTTTTCTTCTCAGTGGAAGCGTGTGGTTATCAGGGCGTGCGCGTGAAGAACTCGGTCAGAGAGCTGATCCAGAAGCACAGCCAGGTACAGCTCATATTAGCACAGGGTTATCACATGATTTGAATGAATCCAGTGCTGTTTTTTATGCTGTTGCAAATTAATTATATGCTTCATCACAGGCTCAGCGATATCAAGTCGAAAATGAATGTCCAGGTAACTACATCAATTATGCACTTATGATTTGTAATAGTAACAGGAAGTCGTTTGTCAAAAGTTACTGGATAATAATTTTCTATTTCATTATAGCTATGATGCATGCGCTGCAGAGAAGGAAGAGGGAACTGGAGAATGTGTGTCTCTGTCCTGTGAAACGCCTGCGAGACGCAGACGCAGACGGCCTGGTGTGTTTCACTGCTCCATTATCTGTTCTTAGCTCCGCTCTCTAGATTCTGAGGCCTGTCAAAAACACTGACATCTGTCTGTAATTCTGCTGGAAAAAGATCCGTGTGGGTTTTATTCCAGTGTTTCCCATATTTATGTTTTCCTTAAGACTTTGACTTCGTTGAATAAACATGAGCGCTGCATGTTTCAAAATCAAAACACGGCACGGCTTCTTTTCTAAGAATGTATCTTTGACCGTCTTCAGAAAAGCCTTGATGTCATATTTATTTCATCTTTCTGATCAACTATAATGGCTGATAAAGTAGTGTTTGTTTGCTGTATTCTGGCGCTCCAATCCACCGCCCAATGAAGCTTTCGCAGATTATGGGAGTAACTTCTGTTTACACTGTAAACAATCAGCCAAAGGTTTGCTCTATGAACGCAATAATAAGCATTTTCAAAAACTGAGTACAGTGAGGTGACATTATTTTACTCGCCCTTCAACCATCGATCATTAAAAGCAAATTTAAAAGTGTAAAAGCATCAACAAACTACTTTCAACACACCACGAATAACTCGTAAAGATTCCCCTTCTATCCACAGCAATATTACAGATGTGTTAAATATCATTATAGTAATGTCTATATTTCGTAACAATTACATTTTACAGCATCCGTGTGAAAACAAACCTGGAAAGAGACGTGAGGATTTGGGGAGAAAATTAAAAGATTCTTAGCGCGTTCCAGGGAATTATTCGTGGATTATATCCTAAATTAAATCAGGAGAGCAGAGCACAAATGCACAGTATATGTCTTTTTTCTTTTACTTACGGTGGATATTGTTGTTATATCACGTCACATTAATATACCAAATGTAACATTATTCTACTAACTTCTGAAAAGAGAAAATGATGGATAAGGATTATTTGTAGCGCAATTTGAAATTATTTGTTGCAGTCTTTTTGAGTGAAACTTCCCCAAAGCGGAAGAGCCTCCCATAATGTCAAACGCAGCAGGCTCGTTAGGAGAAAGGTGGATAGCGCCTCGTGGTGGCAGAGAATGAATTCACATTTTCAATCAGCCTGTCTGCTGTATGTATATATATATCTCCGTCCGTCCCCCGGGGGAAGTGTCCCGCACATAGAGTGTAAGTCTGTGGGAAACACTGCTATACAGTTTAATTAGAATCACAACAGAGCAGCTCAGAATCTCTCTGAATGTTTTAGATGAGCAGAGAAACACTGGTGTAGAGCGCAGGTGACTTTAGACTCTAAATAATTAGTGTAAGTGGGTTTACACTCGATGTCCAGAATATGAATGAAGCCGCTTGCTCCGTGTCTCTAGTTTCCGTGCGGCGAGGACATGTTCTGTGACGCTGAGATGCTGGAGGACATCGGGGACGTTCTGTCCAATCAGCGGCTCTCCATCGAGTCTGTGACGGTCAGAGGCTCTCCTCAGGATCTGTGCGCTGATGCCCAAAGCCATCTGAACACACAGCCTTCCTCGTGCGGCCTCAGCCTGCCCGCTGCGCCTCCGGTCTCCTTCTTCCAGTGGCAGATCCAGCAGGAGGAGGAGAGACTGGCAGCTGTGAGCCACGAGCAGCTCACCGCTCGAGACGCAGACGGAGACACGTGAGTGCTCTTACATGCATTACACGCTTCGATCAGTTCTGTCTGAGCTCTCACAGGTGGCTAGGCTGTTCTGTTGGATCACATGTGTTCAGAGGAACGTGGCCTTGAGTCGTTAGCTGACTGTCGACTGATTACAGGTTCTTGCACATCGCGGTGGCTCAGGGCAGAAGAGCTCTGGCGTATGTCCTCGCCAGGAAAATGGCTGCCATCGGCGTGCTGGACATGAAAGAACACAACAACCAGGTAGAGCCAAAAACACTCCCATTGCAGCCATGAGCCTGTCTGTGTGTCCAGCTCTGTCAGGAACACGCCTGCGCACACGCCCTGTGATTAACAGTGACTCACGCTTGTCCTCGCAGAGCGCCTTCCAGCTGAGCGTCGCTGCAGACCAGCACCTGATCGCTCAAGACCTGCTTGTGCTGGGAGCCGAGCTCAACACCAGGGACTGCTGGGGCCGGGCCCCGCTCCACGTCTGCGCAGAGAAGGGCCACTGCTCCAGCCTGCAGGTATCTGCTCACATCTGGAGGTGTTCTCAAACACTAGATCATCAGATTTAACTCTCCAGACGTTCACAGTGGCTAGATTAGACATACTGTGTGTGCCTAACATTTCATTCAGTTTGATGAGTCTGTTTTTCTATTTTTAAGCAGCCATCTGTCCGATGAAGTGAAACACCTTAAAGAATCAGAGCATATGATCTCAGCTAATATTAATAAAACGAATAAACCTGTGCATTCAGAATGGTAACAGGTACAAGGCTCACTGCAGTCCACACACAAACACTCTCGAAAATTGTAATTGATAATTGCATCTTGGTTTAAGTACACAACCACTAACTGACCAGTTAGATGTTGAATAACTAGTTGACTAGCCTGGCCTGTTCCTACTAGGGATGCGCAACAGTGATCGAGTACTCGAGTACTCGACCGTGACAGCGATGATCGATCATGTAAACGATGATCGAAACATTTTTTTTTCTTTTTTTCCCCTGATTGGTTATAGCGAAATGAGAAATTTCCCAAAATGCCCATCCCTAGTTCCTACAGTCATTAACAGCACAGTATTTCCTTATTAACCTGCGTCTGCATCTGTTAGCCGCTGTTTTTCCTCTTATCATTTTCTCATCTTTTATCAACAGTCCTCATCTATCATTCTGTCAGATGCTCAGTGTTTATTTAACCAGCCGCTAACTGACTTCCTCATAACATGCTTAACTAATATGCATTTCCTCAAAAAAGAGTCACGCAGCACAGGCAGAAATTCCCTCTCCTGGCCGCACTACACAGCTCTTTTGATAAGATTTCTGTCAGACATTAACTGTCGACGGGTCGTGGCACGCAACCATCGGCTTCTCCCAGAATGCCATGGGGCAGTACGTGTTGAGATCTGTTTTCTAGAGCTTTCTTGGGAATGGTGTGAATAGCAAACTCACGGTTTCTCCTCAGGCCATCCAGAGATGCTTGCAGACGAGCGGTCAGCCGGTGAACGTGGAGGTGGTCAACTATGACGGTCAGTGTCTTTGAGAAATGGCTCATCTGTGCTCTAGGGCTGTCAGAATGGCTGAAAAACTAAATTTTGTACTTAAATATTATCAATATATGAATTATATACAAATTTAAAAGGCATCATTTCAGTTCAATGGATAAACGCTTTTGGCTTCTCTCCTGAGGCCACAAGAGAGCGCATCGAGCAAAATATTACTAATGCACGTTTCTCCAAAACAATAAAATAACATGACTATCTTAGAAAAAAAGTGCATAATGTTTAAAATAATGTTTATAAACCAAGTATAATTAATTAGGT